TATTGATATATTAATGTGTATAAGTATTTTAGTAGTTTCAATTAATGCATGTTGAACTCGAATAATTAGAAGTTTGAGGATTTCAGTTTGAAAACAACTAAAACCACAAAACACTAAAATCATTTCATAGTGATTATAAAATAAAATATATCCCAAATATTGATAAGTTTTCTTGGTCATGCCAAAAAAAATGATAGGAAACACTAATTTGTCATACATTTCGGAGGCAGCAGAGACAGTGGCAATATTTATTTACATATTTTAATTTCCTCTTCCTCAGACTCCGTCATGGCAGAACTTACCAATGAGGCTAGGCAGTGTCTTGGGGGTCACACTGGCCGTGATGGTATTGCACCCTGGACTGGGGTTAATAACTGGTATGAGGATACCCTTTTGTCAGAAAAGGGTTCATTTTGGTCTTGGAGAGAGAGAGAGTATAATTGGAAGATTGTGCATGTCCTTTTATGTATGTATTGAATAGATAATGATACTCTAGATACCTCTCACCAATTTTGAAAGTTATCTTTAGATTAACAAGCCATATTCCTTACCAAGGTGTGTCCTGTTATTACTCAATGCTGGAGAGTGGACTAGCTTACTAGGAGGAACATCCCTTCCCTCACATCTGCCTCTCCTGGCCCTTGTCAGACCCCTCGCAGCAACAGCACATGCTCTCAGGGAGAAACATACCAACAAGAAGGTTTGGTATGACTTATGGGAAGTAGGTATGTTGCACTGTTGTTGTTGTTTGTTATTTTTTTTTTTACTTTTACTTTTACTTTACGGGATTTGAGGCTTAGAAAAAATTGCCTTTTTTTACTCATATTTACCTTTATACCCTCATGTCATGAATACTTTGTATAGCAAGCAATTAATGCTATAGAATACATTTTACACAATCAGATATGATAATAAGTTTTGGAAACCTTTTCTTTCTGCTGCAGTGGTTGGTATAATGGGAGGAAGTATCCAGCACAAGCGTTCCAGCTCTGGCCAGTCCATTGCCATGGAGCGACATCATGACACAGGTGAATAGCACAGCCTTTGTTTCAAAATTTTGTAGGCATTGTTTACACTGTAGGAAATAAAGTAGGACTTGGCCTGTTGATCTTCTGTAGATAATGAAAGATATGAATAGCATTTTTGAAATCATCAGAGTAAAGTATTGTAGCAGCTTTTAAAAAAAAAAAATTAAATCTTGTATAGCATACATTCTACAGGAAATCTTATTCTTCTCAAATAGGTATTATGAGCAGATCAGACTTCCTCGATTTCCTGTCCAACGTCCGAGAGCCAAGTTGCCTCTCCATCATGATCTCTCTCCTGGGCCATGTGCTCAACATCCTAAATCAAGAACCCAGTAATGCTGTTCACATTGACCACCTGGCTATGTGGCCACCCACCGTCGACACGTGAGTTTTGTTTTGTCATTGTGTGCTTGTATTTAAGTTGAATGGCAAAAGCATAATCCCATATTGACATGAGGATAAATAAGAAATAGTACATTTACTCTTCATGAAGCGATGAGATCCAATTTTCAAAACTGAAAGTAAATTCTTCCTTCAGGTTTTAGATTAATTTGAATTTAATAGTCAAAATTATCACATCTTTCTTATAAACTTTAAACATGTAAGTATTTTTTTTCATATACAGGTTTGTGTGTGTGTATGTGTGTGTGTGTGTGTGTGTGTGTGTGTGTGTGTGTGTGTGTGTATGTATGTATGTGTGTATGTATATGTGTGTATGTATATATATGTATGTATGTATACACACACACACACACAAACACATACACATACACATAAATACACACATACAAATACATACATACATACATATATACAAGTGTGTGTGTGTGTGTGTGTGTTTTTGTTTTTGTAAGGATGTATATCACATTATATACATGATATATAGAATATATCTTGCTTCCAGAGTGGTTTCAATGCAGTGTATCCGAGACACACTTGCCTGGACAGTAGAGCACGCCACAAGACTCTACCCCTCTGGCACGCATGTAAGAACCTCTCTCTCTCTGTATGTTAGTTCTATGTACATGTAAATATTTAAAATAAGTAATTGCTTTGTTGTGCCTAGGTCATTATATTTTGTACTTCTTGAATATATTGCTTGTATCTTTGTTCTTTTCTCATATCTTTGTTGTTGATTTTGGTATATTTGTCTATGGTTTCTTTTTCATTTTTGTTTCCTTCTACAGACAAATGCTGCCCTCTGCACATCTTGGCATCTCTCAAGAGCTGACTTGGCCTACATGAACGACCAGTACCACAATGCTCTGGCCAGCTACCTCACTGCTGTTTTTGTGGCCACAGACTTCCTACGAAATGATAATGGTGTTGTCCAGACAGTTCTCACAGATGGAATCATTAGGAGAATGATTCGCTGCTGCATGAACTTGAATTGTTATACTCAGGTAAGCTCTAGGAAGGCAGTTGACAACTCTTTCAGATGAACCTAACAGTAGGTCGAAGGATTGATTTGATGCTTTACTGAATTTTTATGTATATTTATCTTTCAATCATTTATTTTGATATTCATCTTATATAAATAATTATTATCATATTCATAAGAAATTGTATGTAGCCTATATATCATCATCATATATTTTTATATTTGTAAGAAATCAAGTACACTATATTTATGTATTATATTATGACAGTAATTTTTATTTTCCTTTCTTTTCCATCTTCCAGGCTGCCATCCTGTGTCAGTTCCTGGAGAACATTGACTATAGCACAGCCCTGCGATGCCTTCAAGAGAGGAACTCTGTGGATGCCATGGATGCTTACTACTGCTGCCTGTGGGATGTCTCCCTCATTGAGTTTATAATCAACATGCATCAGAAACGTGGAGAGATTCAGCGCCGTGACAAAGCTGTGAGAAGGCTTTATCTCTCTCTCTCTCTCTCTCTCTCTCTCTCTCTCTCTCTCTCTCTCTCTCTCTCTCTCTCTCTCTCTCTCTCTCTCTCTCTCTCTCTCTCTCAGTAGCAAGTTTAGTGAGATGTGTAACAGACTTTGATACTTTGCTGATATGTTATACTTTCTAAAGAAAATGAATTTTCTCTGTATGATATCTTCTGAAAATAAGAACTGAATTTTGATGTTCTTTTTCATGAGTACTGACATGATAGATTCATGGGGTGATAGTGATCAGATATTTTATAGAGAAGTACATATATATATTACACAGAAAGACGTTCATTGTGTAATGATTGAAATATATATAATTTTTTAAAATCTTTATATTCTCTTTCTAGATGAAAATGATGAGTCTTCTGGAAGTCAACTCAAATAATAATGATGAAATCCAGAGAGAGGCTGCCAAGGTCCGGAAGCATAGATTTCTTCGCTCGATGGCTAAGCAGTACCTGTAATGGCACCAGAAATACAGTGTAACATCTAAGAAAACAATACTGACCAAAATGTAATTTTATAATAAACCAAAATCTTTTAAAAGTTGTTTTTATAAATCTTTATTAGTGTAAGGCAAGTAAAAAAGCAAAGGAGAGAAAGATGGGCAAATGAGTGAGAAGTAGAGGGACATCATATGGGGTGGCAATGAAGGATGCTGAAGTATCCACGGGCCTTTCAAAGGAGCTAATCATTATACAGTTTTCAGGTTTATTCAAGTGTAGCATAGAATTGTTGAGATTACACTATTATGTCTACAGCTTTATGTGTCATGATATTATGCTAGGAATAATTTTTTCATCTTTTAGAAAGAACTACAAAAAGTAATTTGCAAGACATCCCATAATAGCCTACATACAATATCTACTAAAATGATAAAGTGAAACGTTTATCAAACACTGACACAAGGTTTTCATGGATGCTTTAGACAAAGGACTGCAAGCATTCCCTTTGAAGTGTGGTAGAAGTGTTATTGAATGTTTTCAAATAACCACACATTGCCTTTGCAGCCTTGATTTGGATTCTGCTGTGTTAAACATACAATTGTATCAGCGAACTTAGCTTGGTGGTATACCAGAGAGTGGGAAAGTCTTCTTTTCTACTTACTGCTTGAAAATAGGTAACTTCCCTAATCCCAAAAATGAGATAATCAATATTATTCAATACACAAGAGCAAATATATTAAAAACACATAGAAATATAGTCCCTAATCAGGCAAGAATAAAAAGATATATTACTTTTCATAGCCAAATAGTTGCAAAGGTAAAACTGCCTTTCAGCACATCTAAGACAATTCTTTATTTCAACACATCTGTCTTAAAATAGTTAAATCAAATTGATCTTCAAATCTGGTACTGTTCCACAGAAGACAAAGCAAACAGACTCTTTTAATCCATTTTTATTTTGTTGATTTATATGATACATAAAGTTTTTATTAATAATGTCAGTTTCCCAAAAATGCAGATCTTATTTTACATTTCTCACATTTATTGCACAATTAAGAAATCAGGCATTTTTATCAAATTCAGTCAATAAAATGTTATTGTAAATAAAAAAAACACAGTAAAAAGATACTATTTTTAACATATATGAATATAATGAAATTAAACTTTATTCACTATAAAAATATTGTACATGCTAGTTTTCCTAGATGTATTCAGTTTCATTAACCAGACAGAAAAATGCAACCCTAATTTTCTCTCCCTCGTACTTAGCATTAATTCCCATGTATAATGTACTATAAAATATTTGATAAAAATCATGCTGGATGTATTAATTAACAAAAAATTGTATATCAACTGTAGTGTGGTCCCACTTTAAAATGCCAACATATGTGCTTTGTGAATCATGTTCTTCAAATAATTTCTTATTTTTCAATATACAACAAAGCCTATAATTCAGTAAGTTTTATTTTTCTATATACAAAAAAGCCTGTAGTTTAATAAGGCTAGCAATCATACATGATCTACAATTAATATTTATATAATGTTAATTACTTATAGTCTTTTTTTTGTTTGGGAATTGGCTATATACTTAATTTGCATTGGCATAGGAAAGAAATTAAACATCTAC